CAAATGCCTCAAAACATAATGTGTGGCCATGGACAAGTCTCATGCTCACCAAAAGGTCAAAGTAAATAATAGGCATAAATATACATCAACTACATAGACTTAGAATCTAGTCATGAACACCACCAAAGCATGACAATATCAACATGCAATATGTTCATAACCTAAGTCCAAAATGCTAAACACTATACTATATGCACCAAAAGTAATCCTCCAAAATTCTATGCTCTCCATATGCACACCATGACCAATTCCTCCACTAAGCGCCTCTTTCCCGAATATCCTCCATGCTCACTATAACCTGAAATGATGTCCCCAAATGCGAACCAAGGGTACTAGAGGATCACTCCACCCCATGACTCACTTAACGTGCATATAATGATCATCATATAAAATGCATAACATACAAAATCACATCACACTGGGCTCACATCCAAGAACATCCACACAAGGATTCCATTCAAGGACCCCATCATATAACACCCGGGAAGCTTCCTGGTACCTCTCCCATGGATGCGACGACCCCATCGTAAAACCCAATTGGAACTCCTCAAGAGACCTATCCAGTGAAAGTCTCACATTTGGATAATCCTGGTACCGCTCCCAGAGTCGGCCCCACGGCAAAACCCGACCGGAATCCCCCAAAGGAATATCTCAAGCGGAAGTCCAAATCACACACATCTACTAGCCAGAGATCACAGATATGTCACACAACATTCTCCAAACATGTCACACAATCAAAGCAATAATGCATGAACATACAATTTCACACAATGTCATAGAGCACACCATCCAACCACTACCTTCCACTAGGTATGGCGGAACACACAAGGGATAAAACCCAAGTACCAAGAGTTTACCTTAACTCTGAAGACAATGCTCTCCCCGTAAGCTCCAAGCTTAGTCCTCCTTTATCGAGTTCGTGAGAGGGAAACTATAACGATCAAACAACAATGATCATCAATACAATTCCAAGGCAATCAATTCACTTTCAAAGTACTAATACCCAAACCTATTCACTCAGGCCTAAGGGATATTTTACATTTATTTCACTACCTCAACCCTTTTAATCATCAAACTAACTCACCATTCCATCATCTTATGCATCAAAGCATCAACCATTGATCATACCACATTTTTCACATCATTTTCCTCCAAACAGCCTATAGATCGAATTCTTCAAGGAATCATACTCCAAGGTTTTTAATTCAATTCAACACTTATACACATCATATAATCCTATGATTAATTCGCACCAATGCTCCACAACTCAATCACACCATCACCCAACATATCAATTTCACAAGGTATTGAATTTCCACTCAAATTTTCACTAAAGTTACAAATTTACAAATCACCATAATTTTTATTGCATCAATCATCATCATTTATCATTCTAAGCACTTAATTCCAAAGGAGCAACATCATTAAAAGCCCCTAACTACCACAACTCAACACACATAATCAAAATCCTCATCCAATTTATGATCTCAATGAAAACTCAATGAGAGTGTAGAAACTTACCACCAATAGCTTCCTAGGGTCCAAGGGAATGGTCTCCAACCAATGAATCAAACCAAAAAGTTCCAAAATTTCCCCAAAATGCTTCAAAATTCCTGGCTGATTTTGGAGGATTTCTCGTAACTCAATGATCCCCACAAGGTGCTCTCTACATGAAAGTCACTCACAAGATCAAGGGGAACAACTTGTAGTTGGGAGTTTCTCTAAAAAATGTCTAGAAAAACAGTTAAAAATCAAAAGCTCCAAACCCTCAACCATGGACAAAAGCTCGATGGAAGAAGAAGGAGAGGAGAGAGAAAATATGAGAAATCTGATTTTCAAGTCTCTTTATCCACTTAAGTGGGTTCCACACGTCATTTCTCTTTTTTAAATCACCCAATTTAACCCACAAATTCATAACCTACGTATTTTTTTTGTTCACATCATACTTTTACTTCCTAAAAGTACTGATCATATTTTTGCGCTTACCAGTACAATTATACTGCAGTATATTACATCGATAGAATCACTATTCATCAAATATTCTGAAACTTGCCTATCTACACAATTTTTTGTTCTGATTTCATTTTCAGTGTCCGTTTTTCCATTTGAGACTTTCTACTCAATTTTTCTCTCCTAGAATTACGTGTTTGGTAAATTATCATTTTACCCTTCTTATGCAATTTGACCCTAAATTTTAAGATTGTCACTAATCTTACTCTTTAATTCACATTTTCATATATAATAATATATTTATGAAATACAAGGTGTTATACCTACATTGTTCTCTGGCATCTTTATTGGCTTAATGCCTACTCAAATTTAATCATAAGCGTTACGTTGAGAACTATTACAATATCACTTGAATTAATTGGCATCTTTATATAATTACAATCAATTATATAAATATTCTAAAAATATGATGTTAGTACAAAATGTGTATTATTAGTTCTCCTTTCTCCAACAACCTTAGTTCAAGTAATATTTTTTCAGGTTTGATCCATGATAAAATCATAGCCATTCTTTTTAGTCAGCTAACGTGTCATTTTCCTCGTCACACTAAGACATAAACTTCCCATAAAACTTATGGTAAAATTAAAATTTGTATGAAAGAAAAAAATAATAATCATTCTTTAAACCAAGACTCGTGGTCCTTTTTTTAAAAAAATAATGTAAATTATAAAAACTTTATAACTATCCAGTAAACATTATTGGCAAATACTTTTCTTGTGTTGATGCAAGAAAAATCTTTTTCTGCCATCGATTATAATTAAATATAAACATAATGTTACCATGATCATAAAAAGTCGCAGCTAAGCGAAAAAATAGCCGTAGGTAAAATCAGTGTTATTAAAACTGGACCGGCCAGGCCGGCCCGACCGATTGGCCCAGAAATCGACCCATCAACCGGTCCGGTTAGAACATTGGACCGTTGAAGCATTCGACCCGATATCGATCTAGTGACCCGGTGATAAACCGCGGTTGACCAGTATCGACTTTCTTGAAAAATCGTATTTTTAAAATAAGTTACAAAATATTTCAATTTTTTGCAGCAGGTGGGGTCACTTTGTACCACTAAGCTACCCTCCCTTGTTGAATAAAATGCATCATTTAATGTATTTATTATAGAACTATTATGTTAACAGAATTATTTCAAAAATTACATCTGATTGGGATCGAACCCTTGCAATGAGGATATGCAACATAGTAATTACCACTAGACTACGTCAGGTTATTATTTAAATTGCATAATTTAAAATATTTATTATATAAATAAATATAAAATATAAACTTATATATATATATACATACATGCATACATATATGGGTCATGCAGTTCAACCAGTGACTCACCGGTTGAACCAGTGATCCTGTACCTCGGCCGAGTCAATGACCGGTTCAGTTCTAATAACATTGGGTAAAATAATGCAACGCCTAATCTAATCACGATTTTCCAAACGATGGACAAGTAGGTTTGCCACGGCTTTTCTAATGTTTTTCCACATTTTTTTGCGTGGCGAAAGTTGTTGTAAAAAAATGACCCATCATTATTTATGTGAGAACGCTGCAGAATTAAACAAATGGTCTCATCTCCAACAGTTCAATGGGTTCGTTTAATTAATGTCTTTGCTGCATTTGTAGAATAACAGCATTGGCAGCTTCAATTAATTGAAGTTGAAAAGGATGTCCGCATAGTGGGGATTTCGATCCTCTTACGTGAAAAAGTTAAATATGCTTCGACCTACCTACCTTTCGTCATTGTGAATTAAAGATGGAAGACATTCAGCAACACCACATTGACCTTTTCCGATGTTTGAGTTTTTCGGAATCACTGTTTTAGGAATTGTTTAATTCCTAAGCTACCAAGTATTTTATGATTTGAGAAGAAAGAAAAATAAAATTGGAAAAACCAAAATCTTCGTTCATTAAATTGAAAATTTTGAACTTCTTAAAAACATACGTTTTCCGCTTCATATATGATATAACTTTCATCCATTATTTTGAAATCTAACTGAATCTTGAATTACAGTAACCGACATGGCGATTCGTCACTGTTCCAGTTAGGCTCACATCACGTGGCTGACTAAAAAAGCAACACAAAATGAAATCCAAATAAAAATCTATGGAAAAAAGTGAAAAAAAAAAGTACTAACGAGATGTTAGATAGAGGTATAAATTTTAGAATCTCGAGAAATTGATATTGACAATTTTATTTATTCATATTTGGTACAAGAATTGTAAAAATTTTCTTGGTAAAATCAGATTCCAAGGATTCAAATTTGTAAAGCAAAGCCTCATGTGAAAATACCACCTATCCCATCCGGTGGGAATATTTGCGAAATTTTTGCAGACAAAAATGCCATATCTTTTTGCGCGCTCTACGGGTGTACATGACAACTATTTCGGAATCAATTTTTTTTTAATTTCTATTCCCGGGAACAGAGTTGGATAGAAAACGTGTTTGGTAAAGCCAGTTTATTTTTTGTTCACAGGATGAACCAGTTTAATTTTTGTGCTGGGGAACAGGAAAAAGAATAAAAAAATTTATGTTTTTTTTTCTCGGACACAAAATGAGAAACACTTATTTCTTTCAATTACTCTCCACCACTATCATCATCATCATCACCATAACCACCACCATCATCCCGACACGATCGCCACGACGATACGCTGCAGTCGTTTTACCACCAATGTTGTCGTCACCACCACGACGACGACGCCACCGCCACCATCACAACCACCACCACTATGATGCCGTCGTTACCACCTTCACCCATTACCACCATTATCGCTACCGCCACCGCCACCACTATCATCACCGTCACCACCACACCATTGCCACCACCCCAACGCCACCACTTCCACCACTACCATCGTCGCAGCCACTACCACTACCACCAGCACTGTCACCACTACCATCACCATCACCATCACCACCACCACGCCATTGCCACCACCACGCCATTGCCACCACCACGATGCCACCACTTCCACCACCGTTACTAACCACTACTACCATCGCCGCAGCTACTGCCACTGCCATTACCACCACGACCACTACCACCGTCGCAGCCACTGCCATCATCACCACCACCGTCACCAATCACCACCACGACCGCTGCAGTCACTGCTATCACCACCACCACCGTCACCAATTACCTCCACCATCGCCGCAGTCACTGTCATCACCACCACCACCACCACTGCCATCGCCGCTACCACTACCATTATCGTCACCACCACCATCATTGCCATCACTGTCACCACGCCATTGCCACCACCACGACGCCACCACTTCCACCACCGTCACTAACCACTACTACCATTGCCGTAGCCACTGCCATGACCACCACTACTGCTGCAGCCACTGCCATCACCACTACCACCATCGCCTTAGCCACTATCGTCACCACCACTACCATGCCACCATCACCGCCACCAACCACCACCACCATCTTCGCAGCCACTGCCATCACCGTCATCTTTACCACCACCACTATATCGTCACCATTACCACCACCACTATACTGTCACCATTACCACCACCATCACCGCAGCTACTGTCGTTACTACCACTACCATCACCACGCCACCACCACTACTGTCGCCGCCATCATTACCACCTCCACATCCACCACCACCACCACATCATATGGAAAGGAAACTGATAATGCGAATTTTTTTTTTGCTTAATAGGATTTATTTTTTATTATATTATTTGTTGTATTATCAAACTCAATTCTCATTCTCAGAATAAAAATAAAACATGTTATCAAACACACTTTTTTTTTCTCAGAAACTGATCCAAGACACATAAATAGAAAAGAATTGTTTCGTTTCATAAATAGTGTCAGGGAACAGAATGATTGTCTTGCACACCCTACTTTGTCGGAGTCATAGTCGGCAGTCAAACAAGAGAACTTATCGTCGGGGCCTATGCCGCAGGGGGTCCATACCCATATCTAACCTGAAAAAATATTTCAGGATGTTAATGGTCTTTGACTTGTCGATATTGAGGGTGAAGCAGATGGTGGGTAGCGGCGGCGAGGTAGCGCTGGAGAGTAATCCTAGCCATATCGTGTAGCGACACTTGTTCATAATCTTGAACGATGCTTATTGTACCTTTCCAAGTTCAAGGACCAAAATTGAAAGAATACAGAGAAGAGTAAGTGCAAGTTTTTACTCAAAAAATAATTTGGTGAGTTTTTGTAATTGGTGAAGTTCACTTGAGAAGAAAAAAAATACAAGGAAGCAAAAGATAATGAGAAAGAGAAGAAGGTGACCCAGGTGGAGGCAAAGGAGAACCAAAAAAGAAAGATTGATTCACAAAATATCGGATTGATCTTATACACAAAATAGACGATAGTTTTGTAAAATTATCTCATATTTTATTAATTAACCAAATATAAAATCAAAAAATTTGAGCTAATATTACTGATAATATTTTGGTCTACCAAATAATTTTTTTATAACATTTATAAAAAATATATTTTACTGATAATATTTTAGTCTACTAAATAATTTTTTTTATACCATTCATGAGAAATATATTTTCCTAACAGATTCGGGGAATAGTGATTTCCCAAAAAAAAAAAAAAAATCTCCCAAATGCCGTAAGGGTTATGGATTCTATATTCTCCAACATGACTGTTTCACCTGCAACTTTTCACACAGGCATAGGCTGCTAGCCTTCTACTATTGCCTAGTCAATGCTACAATCTAATTATTTATTTCTATTTAATTTATATCAATTTCATTATTTATCTGGGTAGGTCACGTATAATTATCATATTAAGCTCTTAGCGAGACTTATAATTTAGTTTAAATTGTGGCAACTTCTCATTCCTTTTAGAAAAGAAAAATGCTTAGCCGTTTCTCTCGCATCACAAAACATTAAAAGTTCATATGTTTACAAATTCATATCCACATATCATGAAGTTCTTTTTCAATGATTAGTAATTTTTTAATTAACATAAGGATGAAATTAGTGAACTAATTTTGTGTTTTTTTTTTTTTTTTTTTTTTTTTGGGATAGATAGGAAAGATGATCTAATTTTGTGTTAGTTTAGGGCCATGGGATCCGTGATGTTGTAATTAACTTGTTTTATTCTGAACCATGCGTCACGGATGCATTATACAAACAAGAAAAGACTCATTAATTTTGCACAAAATGGGTTATTAATACTTCAAACTCAAATTACTAAAATTACTTGTCGTCATAAATATATGATAGCGACAGAAAATTACAAAATATTTTTTTTTAAAGGATCGCTATTAAGGTCGATTTAAATTAGAAAAAACATTTAAGAAACTTTTTTGTAATTAATTCATCCTTTTTTTTTTGTAATTTTCTATTTTTTATATTTAATCTCCTGTAATTTTTATCTCTTCTTTTTAATTAATTTATTTAAATGTTAGTTTTTGTCCTTAACAAAATTTGGTGTACATACTGTTTTATCGTTTTAGTTCAAATCTGATTAGTGTTTGACACGGAAGGAGTGGGAACCATACGCATAACGATGCCTATTGACCTTGGAGTCGCATGATTCATCCATCAACCACAAAGATAGCACCTGGCCCAATACCACGAGATTTCTTATTCACTAACCTCATCTCTGCATTGAATAATTTGAATTGGTCAATGAATCTTTCTTCGAATAATTAACTAATATTATCTGTTATTATTTTCATATGCTTTTAATTGGACATACTGTACAGGTGTTCCGTTACTCCAAAAAAAAAAAGTATACCCTTTTTTTTAAATTATTGATTCTCATGGTATGATACTCTAAAAAAAAGTATACACTTATTTTCATGCCTAGTTTTTTTTTTTTTTTGGTAGAAACACGCTTACTATTATAACTAAAGTTTATTAACCTTACCTACCAAAAAAAAAAAAAGTTTATTAACCTTAAATATTTGGTTTGGCCATACCAATTAACAAATCTATGATCTCTCCTCAAATCCATTTCGTACATGTGTTTTCGTGATGAAAGATCAATTACCTATGTCTCATAGTTAGGAAACTTAGAACTAGAAATTACAACGTTGTTTTGTGATCAAAGCAAACAAGGAGATTGACCATTTCAACGGTCAACTATCCACCCGATAAAATTGAACACAAGCGTAACCAATTAAGCTTCTCTTCTTTTCATTTAACTCTAAATAGTAAATATAAAAGCAGATATGAAGTCTAATTTAAGCTACATGATGAATCAAATAATCTTATATAGGATATCTTGTGATGTGTTGACATCAAATACCAGATGTAACACCAGTTCAGGTTAGGGTGCACTCTGGGGTTTTTTGCTTCTTGAGTTAAACCTTGTTTTCCGAACCACATTTTCGTACATTTATTCTTGATGCGGACCTCAACCATGCAGTAACAGAGATGGAGTAGGAGACACATGGGGAAGGAGACAAGGAGACACGAAGGGGAGAGAGGAGGCGTGACCGACCAAGGTGGATGAAGGACTATGTCTAGAAAGAGTAACGTGGCAATCAGATGTTCTATGGTCTGATTGGGTTAGTGGGGTCTATAGACTGAATTGGGTTAGTAGGAGTCTTGGGCCACCTGTCTGGCGAGCCCAGTTAACAAGTGAGAGTCTTAGTAAGGTTTCTGGGCCTATAATAGGAAGTAGCCCATTTGCATTGTAATTGTGTCTTTTAATAATCAGAGAAAGGGAACCGTGGGAGGCATGTATGTTGATAGGCATAACTGCTTTCATCTCTTCTTCACCTCAATTTCTGGAGTTGCCGGCACCTCGAATTGCCGTAGAACTTGTAACTGTCTCGTTTCTTTTCAATTGACAGTAATAAAATACAGATTTGGATAGTGTCTATCATTTTGGTGCTTTCATTGAGAGGCAACTTTCGCTCTAACAACCATGGCGGAGGGAACTCGTAACATGACAAAATTGGATGAATGCATGACTCGATTATCACGACATGAAGAGCAGTTTAATTCACTGGGGGACCTGCTTAAGGAAATGAATCTGAAATTAACCGTGATGGAGGGAAAGCTTGACGCAAAACAGAAGGGGAAAGGAGAAGGATCTGCACATCAGGGAACTGAGAATTTTTTGGGAATCAACCCATTTAAATCAGTAAAACTAACTGTACCTCGATTTGCAGGAGGGAACCCTGAACCTTGGATTCACAAGGTGCAGCAATTCTATGGGTTTCACCAGCTCAGCGACCCAGACAAATTCACGTTGACCTCATTCCACATGGACAATGCTGCAGAAGAGTGGTATCACTGGATGGACAGAAATGGGAGGCTACGGACATGGGAAGGGTTTCTGGTTGCTCTTCGCGCTAGATTCAGACCTTCAAAGTATCGAGATCTGAGGGGAGAGTTGTCTCGATTGACCCAAACGTCCACGGTGGATGAATACCAGACTCAATTTGAGCACCTAGCCAATCAGGTTATTGGCATTGAAGATGTTACATTACAGAGCAATTTTGAGTCCGGGTTGAAACCTGAGATCCGGAAGGAAGTGAGGATGCACCTCCCTGAAACATTGGAACAAGCAATAGACCTGGCCAAATTGGTAGAAGGCAAGGTGAGTGATAAATCGTTTACAAAAAATTATTATACAAAATCCAACACAGTTACTAGCAATACCAATTCTACTGGATTGCTGCCCACACCTGCGAAGGTATTTGGGGTTAATTCTGGGGCGGCCAAGACAACTTCATCAGTTCAAAAAATTACACCTGCTGAAATGCTGGCAAGAAGGGAGAAGGGTCTATGTTATTATTGTGATGAAAAGTTTCATAGAAATCATGTTTGTAAGGGAAAAATGTTCCTTATGATGGTGCAAGAGGAAAATGATGATGAAATGGCCGAAGATATACCCCAATTGGAACCAGAAAACAGCAGTCAGAAATTAGAGGACGAGGGGACCTCGGTTCCAGGCATCAGCTACCATGCTCTTGCGGGGCAGCCTTCCAATAACACCCTTCGATTGAAAGGGAAGATAAACCATACTGCAGTCCAAATATTAGTAGACGGTGGTTCTACACATAACTTCATACAGGATCGGCTTGTGAAGTTCTTGGGATTGGCCATCCAACCTGCACCCAAATTTCAGGTGTTGGTAGGGAATGGGGCTACCCTAGATTGCATGGGAGTGTGTCAGAAGGTCACCATCGAAGTGCAAGGATATCCGTTCTGCCCTAACCTGTATGTTTTGCCAATCCAAGGTGCGGAGGTGGTACTCGATGTGCAGTGGTTGTCGGAATGGGGTGATGTCACCATTAGTTATAAGGAGTTGATTATGAAGTTCAAAATGGGGGAACAGTCAGTGGTGCTACAAGGGGAACCCAACATCACAGTCGAAGCCATACAGCTGAATCAACTGAGGAGACTCACTACCTTTGATTCCATTGCTTATTGCTACCAAATGCATGCGGTAGAACAGGAAATTATAGCTTCTTCAGTCTGGGGTGATGATCTGGACCCTCGAGTCCAAGATCTTTTACATGAGTTCCAAACAGTGTTTTCCATTCCCCAGGGGTTACCCCCACCCCGGAAAGAGGACCACCAAATACACCTGGACTCAGGAAGTAAAGCAGTGAGTGTTAGACCTTATAGGTATCCTCATTTTCAAAAAAATGAAATTGAGAAGATGGTTAAGGAGATGCTAACCAGTGGCTACATTCGTCTCAGTCTGAGTCCTTTTTCTTCACCAACTTTACTAGTTAAAAAAAAAGATGGCACGTGGCGGTTCTGCGTTGACTATCGAGCCTTGAACCAGGTTACTATTCCCAATAGGTTTCCCATTCCTACGGTGGATGAAATGTTGGACGAATTATCAGGGGCTGCTGTATACTCGAAGATGGATTTGAGATCTGGGTATCATCAAATTCGTATGGCTGCTCAGGACGTCTATAAGACTGATTTTCGCACCCACGAGGGTCACTATGAATTCGTGGTTATGCCCTTTGGCCTCACAAACGCCCCTGCCACTTTCCAAGGGATAATGAATTCGGTGCTCAAAGAATTCCTTAGACGATTTGTGATAGTGTTTTTTGACGATATATTGGTTTATAGTCGAACCATGGAGGAGCATTTGGGACATTTGAGGTTGGTTTTGGTGTGTTTAAGGGAAAATCAGTTGTATGCTAAGATGACCAAATGTGCCTTTGCTCAAGGGGAGGTAGAATATTTGAGTCATGTGGTGAGTGCAAGTGGGGTACGTCCTGATGGGGGAAAAATTCAGGCAATTCTCGAGTGGAAGACACCTAAAACTATCAAACAGCTAAGAGGATTTTTGGGGTTGGCGGGCTACTACCGCAAGTTTGTTAAGGGTTTTTCTCAGATTGCTTCACCTCTCACCAGTCTACTACAAAAGGATGCCTTTATTTGGACTGAAGGGGCTACTCGAGCTATGGTTCAACTACAGGAAGCCTTGTCACATGCTCCTGTTTTGGCTCTCCCAAACTTTGCAGAACCCTTTGTTCTGACCACGGACGCTTCAGGTACTGGAGTTGGTGCAGTCCTCAGCCAAAGAGATCAGCCAATTGCATTTTTCAGTCGGAAAATGTCCCCCAAGATACAACAGTCCTCCACATATGTCCGAGAGCTGTTCGCCATCACTGAGAGTGTAGCCAAGTTCCGGCAGTATCTTCTGGGAAACCGCTTCACCATCAGGACTGATCAGCGAAGCATCCGGGAATTGATGGCACAAGTAATTCAGACACCAGAACAGCAGCGCTTCTTGGTAAAACTATTGGGGTTTGACTACACTATAGAATATTACCCAGGAGCTGTTAACAAAGTGGCTGATGCTCTTTCCCGCGTTCATGAAGGTGACAAGGAAGGTCCTCAGGAGGCAGCTACGGTTATGACCTTGACGAGCCTTGTAAATCCCTTGCTTGACCGAATCAGAGAGGAGGTAAAAAGTAAATCAGAATTAGTGAAATTGGCAACACAAATTCAGGAAAAAAAAAGAAGGAACTGAATATTACTTGATACGTGAGGGGTTAATATACTTCAAGGGACGGCTGGTATTGCCCTGTGATTCTGACATATGAACCACTGTCCTCCATGATTTTCATTCTACGGTCATCGGTGGTCATGGAGGGGTACGAAAAACTTTGCACAGAGTTTCCACTCACTTCCATTGGACAAACATGAAGTTGGACGTTCAAGAATTTGTCCGCACTTGCCCGGTGTGCCAAGTGACCAAATACCAACCGTTGTCTCCGGCGGGGTTGTTACAGCCTTTGCCCACCCCACGAGCAATCTGGGAGGAGCTCTCCATGGACTTTATCGTTGGTCTTCCTCACTCCGACGGCAAGACAGCCATCATGGTAGTCGTTGACCGCCTCTCCAAGTATGCCCATTTTTCAGCTCTGGCTGGAGGTTTCACTGCTGCTAAGGTTGCGTCTGTTTTTATTTCTGATATCTGCAGGCTCCATGGCCTTCCCAAGGCTATAGTCTCTGATCGTGATCGTATTTTCCTTAGCAAGTTCTGGATAGAGCTTTCACGGCTCAGTGGTACACGTCTCCACTTTAGTACAGCACACCATCCCGAGAGCGACAGGCAAACAGAGGTTACTAACAGGGGCTTGGAGCAATATCTTCGCTGCTACACCATGGAAAACCCCAAAATTTGGGGCCAATTTCTACCCTGGGCTGAGTTTTCTTATAACTCATCCTTCCATTCTTCTATCGGATCCACACCGTTCCAAATTGTGTACGGGCGTATTCCCCCAACAATTCCTCCGTATGAACACGCCACTTCACCCATCGAGGCTGTCGATGCCTTGCTATCACAGCGGAACTCTGTAGTTCGCCAGCTGCGGGAACAACTCCATCGGGTGAAACAGAGGATGAAGAAACAGGCGGATAAAAAACGTCGTGATGTGCAATATCAGGTGGGCGATCGTGTGCTGGTCAAACTTCAGCCGTACCGCCAACTGTCTGTTCGTAACCATAGTTACTCCAAGCTCCGTCGTCGTTATTATGGACCTTTTCTGGTGGTTGCCCGCATCGGACCAGTGGCTTACTGCTTGGAACTGCCCTCTCACTCGCGGATCCATTCGGTTTTTCACGTCTCTCTGCTGAAGCCTTTCCATCAGAGTTCTTTCTTTCACCCTCAACCGTTGCCGTCGGAGGAGCTCGACAACCACCCCGTGGTTTAAACCGTCGCGATAGTTCGCACCAGATCCATTTCCAAAGGGAAAGCTTCGGACTTGCAAGTTCTCGTTCAATGGTCCGACACACCTGTGGAGGATGCTTCATGGATCTCTGTTTCAGACTTTGCTCAAGCCTTTCCCCACTTCGATCTTGAGGGCAAGATCGATTTTTTAAGGAGGGAGGAATCTGATGCGGACCTCAACCATGCAGTAACAGAGATGGAGCAGGAGACACATGGGGAAGGAGACAAGGAGACACGAAGGGGAGAGAGGAGGCGTGACCGACCAAGGTGGATGAAGGACTATGTCTAGAAAGAGTAACGTGGCAATCAGATGTTCTATGGTCTGATTGGGTTAGTGGGGTCTATAGACTGAATTGGGTTAGTAGGAGTCTTGGGCCACCTGTCTGGCGAGCCCAGTTAACAAGTGAGAGTCTTAGTAAGGTTTCTGGGCCTATAATAGGAAGTAGCCCATTTGCATTGTAATTGTGTCTTTTAATAGTCAGAGAGAGGGAACCGTGGGAGGCATGTATGTTGATAGGCATAACTGCTTTCATCTCTTCTTCACTTCAATTTCTGGAGTTGCCGGCACCTCGAATTGCCGTAGAACTTGTAACTGTCTCGTTTCTTTTCAATTGACAGTAATAAAATACAGATTTGGATAGTGTCTATCAGTGTCAAAAACAACTTTGTCCTATACAACATGATAAACTTGTATTACAATTTATAAGACTTCAAGCACGGAAAAAAGAGTTGAGTGCAAGCCACAAAATGGAGGGTAAAGAAATTTTGGTATGTTTGATTGTGTTCTGGTTTTTTTTTTCTTAAAACTGTTTTGTAAAATAGTTATGGAAATAGTTGTTTTCTATATTTTTTAATTTTCAAAAGTTAAAAACCAAAACAGAAAACAAAAATAACTCAGACGTGTTTTTTAAATTTGATTCTAAAAACAAAAAAACAGTTATAGTTTTCAAAACATTTTTTACAAAACAGACCTTACCAAACGAGTTTTTTAGTTTTTTAGTTTCGAAAACTAAAAAACTGTTTTTAAAAACTACAATCAGAGCCAAATAACAAAATCCACAGTACATGAAAAAATTCTACAACACTACGGTCCTATGTACATCCCACCAATGAAAGCAGTACAAAATCAGCTCACATGTTTCTTGAAGGGAAAAAAAACTTTAATATTATAATTATGTATTCTCCAAATACATAATTTGTAATTTTATTTTGAACTAGTGTTGTACCGAGTGCTCAATAAAACACTACTACCGAAGATGTTCTCCATTACATTTTACAAGGAACATCATTGTAACTGCTATTACTGTAAGGAGCAGGATTCATTGCAAAGAAAGGGAAACATGTTATAAGGAACGCCTTCTTTTTGTATTAGGAACTCCACTTAAATACCATCGTAATAGACATTGAAAATTAAAAGCAGAAAACCTCTTCAGCAGGGCTCAGATGTAGAACACAATCACTTTAAAAGTGCCATATGATGTGATCTAACGGTAGCAAAAACGTCTTCCCATTTATCTTTTTCCCTTATGCCTTTCAACTTCAATTTTAAGAGTATCACAATTCGGTTCGATTCGGTTTTCTTTATTGAATTAATTGGTTTATTTTTTTTCAAATCAATTAAAACTAGTTCATAATCAGTTCAAAATAGGTTTTGAAACCAAATAAAAAGTACAAAAAGACTAATGAGAAGAAGGATAATTTTTTTTTTTGAAAAAACAAAAAAAAATTAATGATACTAGAACTTAAAAAAATTAAAAATAAAAATAAAATAAAATAAACATAAATCATAAGACAAAATAGACAAGAAAAAGAAAGTAAAAAATGAAAATTAAATATATTAAAAAATAAAAAATAAAGAATAAATAAATAAAAAATAAAAGAAGGAAAATAAAGAGAAAAGAAAAGAAAAGAAAAGAAAAGATGAAAAGAAATTTTTATTTTTTTTTCAGTTCATCAACTAGTTTTTAATTTTTTTAAAAAATCAGTTCTTTTAAATTCAATGCAATTCAACTCATATTACGGTTCAATTCTTTTTTCCACATCCTATTCAATTTATCTTAATGAGCATGACGTCCCAAATTCAAAGTTTTCAGCGTTTATTCCAGTTATACAGTCAACATGTATAAGCAATGAATTTAAACCTGTGGATAAAGCAAAGGAAGACCATTCTCGTCATCCTGATTTTGTGCTTGTAAACAATATATCTACATTATGAGTGTATGGCACTCTTGCACTTTTTCCTCCAACATCTCATTCAACTGAAATTCATGCATCAGTCAATTGATGATGGCATTCACAAAATTTCATGTATATTGGTTTACTTTTTCTACGATCAATGCAAATAATTTATCTATAGTGAGTTTAAAACGATGTCGTTTTGAGGCGAAAATTAAGATATTTTTGTAATTATAATTTATTTCAGGGTTATAATAGTATTTTTTCATTTTGATTTTTTAATTTTTAACCCAAAACGGCATTATTTTAAGAGTTAATTTAGATAACTTATCTATATTAACTTTAAAAAGTTAAAGTCTTATAAATAATATTAATTTGGATGGGAAGCAGATTCAGTACAAATAACTCTTTAAATTATAGGCAAATAATGGTGGGCCTCACTTTAATAAGTTGCAATTGTTCTGGGTACTTTCGAGGTTCCGAGACCCAGGAGACCGGCAACTTGACAACAATAGATGATCAATGATTAACAAACAGTCAAGAGATTAGTCTATAATATATAACTTTAAGTATTATTTTTCAGTCTTAAAATTTATCTTTAATTTTTAAAAAAATTATAAATTTTAAAAAGGATAGAATATTCTACCTACCATTTTTTCATGTCTACCTTACTTATCTCCAATACCATTAGATTAGAATCTCAACTAACTCTCACTCTTTCTCTGTCCTCTTGAGATTTTAATCCAATAGTGTCACAGATGAGTAGGTAGGGTAGACATAAAAAAAGGGTAGGAATAATATTGCGAAAACGACTAATATACCGATTGTACAAGTAATAAAGAGAAGAGTAGGATATCGTTCCCACAAGGATTGACCTAGGCAAAATGACTGTACTAAGAAGAATTGATAGCATATTTTCCTAGTAGAAGCTGGGTTGAGAAGATTTGCTGGACTAAGGCAGTCAATCACGTAGGTTTGACTAACGGGATTAGTCCCGTCTGAGAGGATGATAGGACTAGCCTCCACGTCAGATGCCACCTCAGTCCTATATGAGAGATTAACGCATTTAGTCTTATCTGAGATGGTGACACGATTAGTCCTATCTGAGAGGCAATAAGACTAGTCCCATCTGAGAGGGTGACGACAATCGTTGTTCCATGCCACCAACATTGGAAAACGACACTGAAAACATGTTATTTGCGTGCAGGTAGTCCCGTAACTGATATAGATGTGAGTAATCATGTAACTAGCTCATACAGGGGTAGTTATGTAACCTTTAGAACCTCAACTAGTCTTGCTTTGCATACATGCTTCAATACCCTAACCCCAAACTCTTTATATATTATGAAAAGAAATACGTTGCTCAGTGTCATATTCTCGCATTTGTTATTATTTACTTTGTGTTTCCACTCATCTAATTTTGTGTTTTATTTCCATAATAAAATTATTTACTGCAACGGATCAATTTCGTTTATTCGCATATTACAATGGTTCTAAAATAATAGGTGTAGGCGATTTGAGCTTCGAAGGGGAAAAAGGAGCAATGTATATTGTCTGAGGCATGTCTATTGAAGATTTAAATGAGAAGACTCGTAGGAAGTTGAAGCTGCAACAAAATCGGG